ACATCTGCCCATTCATATCAACCATACAAACAATACTCTTTACAGAAAAGACGTGCATATAAAAAAAAAAATTAAGGGGACTATTGAATTAGCAAGACCTCAGGCCACGACTGAAACTGCACACCACGTCACAGGATTCATCAGCAAGCCTGCTGGGATTACTTTCCTTTGCCTGCACAACTAATGATAGCATTGATAGCTAAATTAACTCAGCTGATACAAAGGAATTTAATAAGACCCCATATCATATTGTGGTTGTGATAAAAACAATGAGGCTTCACTAACCAGAAAATTTCCTTATCCACAGCATGGGTTGGTTCGATAACATATGGAATGATGTTCTTACTTGGACCTATTGCGACCACACTGTGCCAAAAATTGGGCTGTCGGGCTACAACAATGATTGGCTGTATAGTTGCTGCCGGTGGCTGTCTTCTAGGTTCAATATCACCAAACATAGCGCTAATGAACTTAACATATGGGTTCCTTTTTGGTGTAGGAGCAAGCATGTGTTATTTCCCATCTGTAATAATCCTTGGGCAGTACTTCTCAGAGCGTCTGTCCTTAGCTAATGGGATCACATCCTCAGGGAGTGGTGTGGGCACACTTTGCATGGGTCCTATAATGCAGAAATTAATACAGCAGTTTGGCATGCGAAACACAATGAGAATCTCTGCTGGAATGCTTTCTTCGGTGGTGTTCTGTGCTCTTATTTACAGGCCCATAAACACTGGTTTTCTAAAACCACCATCTAAGCCCACTACAGCACAAAAGCAGTCACGATTTGCCATTCTAAAAAGTTTTGGTGAACTTTTCAAGAACAAGGCATACATTTTGTGGTGTGCAGCACTAGCACTGTGGATGTTTGGTTACTTTGTGCCATTTGTCCACTTGGTAAGCATTAATGCTGATAAGTTAATTAATACACCATAAGTGGGTGAAAAAAAATGTCCCATTCTCGATCTAGTCAATCCTGAGTGTAGTCCAAGAATTGAATGCTTTTATAAATTTTCAGCTTTTCTGCAAACACAGTTAGCTAGATTCACATAATGAAAAGTTAAACTAGTCAGCAAATGACATCATATTATATCTCAAAGCTGCTCTCCCAGTGTATTTAAGTAATTCCATCACCAAACTGGAATTTTCCTCTAACACTCTAAGAAATCACATTGAAAATATTGCAACAAAGTATTATATCTAAGCCTTGAAAGGTTTCAATGGGTGAACTGTGAATGCTCAAAAGTGTTTCTTTCTTCTAACCTTTTCAAGGTGCGTCTTGCCACAGAGGAAGGTATCGACCCATTCAGAGCAACTCTGCTCATCGGCATCATGTCGGTTGGATCCACCCTAGGACGTCTCATTTTTGGCAAGATGGCTGACCATCCAAGAGTGAACAGACTGTACCTTTATCAGATTTCGTTTCTCATGATTGGGATTAGCAACACTCTCTGTCCAGTATTTACCTCTTACCCTGGGCTAGTGATCTACTCAACTGTGTTTGGCTTCTTTGAGGGGTGCTATGTTCTTCTGGCTCCTGTCCTAACAGGCGACATTGTTGGAAGAGATAAGATGGCTCACGGTGTGGGTGTGCTGTTTGCCCTCAAGTCTGTGCCTCTTACTCTGGGTCCTCCGATTGCTGGTAGGTCGAGAAGAAGCAGCTGCACAAAAAAAAAAAAAACATTAAATAAATCTCAAAATAATACAGATGAAAATTTTTGGTGTATTTGTGACTGTCAAACCATTATTACTGATTACCAAACAAAATAGTGCAATGTCAAATAGTGTACCCCTGGCCATTGTTTCATTTCACTTGGGTTAACTGAGAAGGTTCAAAATGCAGAGCTAGCCCTAGCAAACTTTTGCAAATTGTTAGATCAACTACACAGAAAGAGAGAATTCCATTTGGCTCTTACTTTGCTCAATAAGTTCTAGATAACAATCTTAGAGAATGAATATGAGTCAAACCCCTCCCCTTCTAAGTTTCCATCAAAACGGATAGATGGATAGAGCGCTGGACTGTTGTGCGGGAGGTCGAGGGTTCGAGCCCCGGCCGGACCAACACTCAGGGTCTTAAAATAATCGAGAAGAATATGCTACCTTTCTATAACATCAAGAAATGGTTAGATATTCTAGTCTTCTCGGATAGGGACCAATAAATGGAGGTCCCGTCTCCTGCAGGGTTAGAGGCAAGAGACGTTAATTTCCCACACACGAGATTACTGTGTGATGGATGTCCTCCCCTGGGGTGGGATGGGTGGTTGACAGGACCCCCGTTGATACCAGTGATTACTACACTGAAGGGGCTATCCTGTATAAATATAGATGTCTACTACTAAACATATTTTAGGAATTTTCTTTTAACAAAAAACTGATAAAGATAAAAGCATGGTAAAACCTGTTTAACACCATTTCACTAATTTACTGTCAGTACAAACTAAATGCAAATTTTTTTTTTATATTTTTAAGGCTTTATCTATGATGCATCCAACTCGTATCAAGTTGCCTTCTACATTGCTGGTGCAGTGCCAACTGCCGCAGCCTGTATGATGTTTGGCATTCCATTTCTCATGCCAGACAGAGAAGAAGATAACAAATGCAAGGTTGTTCTGATGGAGGAGAGTGGTTTCAATGAAAAGCCAACCTACTTTGATGAAAAATCACCCTACTTTGACGAGAAGAGAGCCATCATGGAGAAAAAGCAACAAATGCTAAGAGAAAACAACCAACCCATAATACCTGAAGTCATCATAGAAGAACCAGAAACAGACGATTGTCGACCAGTATCATTCTATAGCATAGGAAGCAATAATGGCCTTTCATCGCTCAGTGTCCACAACAAACGCAACACCATTGGACTTAGTACAAATAGCATATCATCAGTGCGAGAGACCTGCCTCGTGTCAGTTGACACTATCAATGTTAGAAGAAGCAGGGTTCTGCAGCTAAAAGGGGAGTTAAGTAGTTCAGTGTTTTCACTTGTCAGACGTTATATGGACATGCCAAAGGAGATTGCAGCAAGTGATTGTGGAAGCATAGCATGTATTCCACAACACCTTGCCAACACTCCACAGGAGCCTCCACCTGTCCCAAAAGAAAGAGTGGTCATTGTAGGAAAAGAGACTGTTGTGTAGGTCACAAACATTGTCTCGATCAGTCTATTCTACCATGGAGTGCTCTTCACACAAGGTAGAAAGTCTTGAACAGCACCTCAAATTAGTGCTACAATATCAAAAACAGTTATTGAGAGTAACTTCAAATTACAACTTCAGCACAATGTATTGTGCAAAAAAGAGGAAATCAATGCTTTGATTTTAAGAAAACATTCACTGGATAGAAAAATAAACAGTTTATTAATCACAAGGTAAATAATATAAAATACTTTTCTTTTTTTTTTTTTTCGGGTCATCAGGCATCCCTTTTTTAGCACTAACACAACAGTGCTTTAAATCAAAACAGCAAATCACAAATTTGGTGATATTTGAAATAAGTTTATCCAATGCATAAAACAGAGATTACATCAGTGTAGTTCCAAAATCAAACAATCAGTTTTCATCAGCAATTGACCTAGTTTCTCTCCATATCAGTGATAAGAAATTGGGAACATGTGTCGGTAGTTTTACTTAAGTGAGGAATTTCTCTTATTCTTCATTATAGTTACATGCTAAATTGAATCAGTTCCAGCATTGTGAACACATTTTGGACCTGAACTTTTATTAATTCAAAGTAGTTTAAAAAAGAATTACAACAAAATTTGAAACCAAATGCACTATTTAAGGAGGAGCTATGTTAGAATAGCTCATATTAAATATCTATAAGTCTATTATCAGTGGGGTTAGTTAGGTTAAAGGTGCTCATTTCAGAAGGCCCTTTAATTACTGGGAACTTTTGATCACAAGGTACACTACGTCTGCCTTTAATCACTGAGAACTTTTGACGATGAGGTACACTACATCTGTCCACATCTATGTATCAAACCAAAACAACACATGCCAAAAAAGTGAAGTCTAAGGAGTTTTTCTTGACTAGAGAGCCTTAATTGAAAAGAGGCCCAAATGTACATTTCAAGACTTGCACATCAGTGAGAGGGCATAAGGTTTTTCAGCTTTTTGATATGAGTACTGACAAAAAAACAAACAAACAAACTAACAAAAATAAACCTGAAAAAGGGAAACCATTCTTTAAAAATAACTTATTGTGGTCATACTGGAGTTTTTAGATATTAGTCATTTAGAACTATGTGTTTTTTTTTTGTTTTGTTTTTTTGTTATTTTTTTTTGGCTTTGATCACTGACCTCATACCAAAGAATGTTGTCTGAGGCATCTCTTTGTAAACAATACAACAGATATATATTATAACAATGACACAAATTACAAATGATTAAGAGAAGATTACTGACCCAGCAATCAACAATATATGAATATTTATTTAATTTCAATTAGTTTTAGGAAGAAGTAAACTTCTGTATTTAAACAATCAATACGACTTTAACTCAAAGAAATTTCAACTTTGTTCCCTCACCTTGCCATTAAAAAATGACAAGGTAATGCAACTCAAGGTAATTTGGACATTGACATTTGGTCATAGAATGAAATGTGGACTAAATGAGTGAGAAATCTCTACAGAAACTTGACAAATATCAGCTTGGCTTTTTCTTCCCTTTTTTTTTTTCTTAATGTGCTTAAGTTAACTTAAACAAAAGGTTTTTATAACAACAGTACCTGAAAAATAATAATAGTTAGTCAATATACAGTTAAAATTTTAAAACCTGGCTTTTAACTATAGAAAATCGAAAATTGGGAGCACTGGAAAACCTTACTGAAATGTTGTTGTGTTAAGAAGAAGCCAAAGAATTGTGAAATAGCTCTGTTTTAAGCAACAAGAGTTGTTGGTTTCATTGGTTGCTTGCTTTTACATAAACTGAATGGTTATGGCACAACAAACATTCTGAAAAAGATTTCAGATGTTGACAGATTTCTGGGTTTCTCCATGAAAAGTTTTGCAGATACCAGTAATACAGACTGTTGCTTCCTTAAGACTTATTTATCTTGACCACAACTGACTTGACTATTTTAAGATTACCCATATTTGTAGCAACATCATCATTGATAATGAATAGTTTGACACTGTAGAATCCAACAGTGCCTTAACTAGACAATTTTATAACTCAATTATTAGGGTGAATTTCCATAGGGTAAATCAAACATTGTAACACTATGTGATGTTCTTGTGCGTGTTCTTGTGTGTGTTTCTTACTTTTTTGTGAGAGCTTCCTGTATTGCAACTGGGTACTAAAAAGTTATGAGCAGTACCCAATTTAGTTTGTAATACCAAAGATCTAATCAAGTTTTGAGGGAAACCAGTTTTTTTCTACTTAACAGTCAAAGCATTCTTAAGAGCTAAGCATGATAGAGACATGTTTTCTAACAGTATTGTGATATTTTAAATAACTTTTGCCCACACAGCAAGAACAGAGCACTAGGGTGTTTAATATGCTGATTAATTTAACAAAAGGTATTTCAATATGTCAGTTTAGTCTCTTGCTTTTACCACCATAAGATAAGCAATTGTGTTTTTGTTTCCGTTGTTTTGTAGACTGCACTCTTGGGAAGTTATTGTGTTTTAGTCATGTTGAGTTTAAATACAGTGAGTACAATTCATTTCATTCCTCATTAGTGTTAAGTAACATAAAGAATGTTGTAGTTGGACTCATATTGAGAAAGACAAAAAATAAAGTACAACTTGTTTTAAAGTTGGGAAAGTTAACTGAGGCTCTGTGTTTATTGACTGTTGGATAACCATGTTGTTTTTGAAACCTACCAGAACTGGTAATGTCATTTAACAATATCACAAATACTTCTTTAATTATAGTGTAGAGGAAGATTTGGTTTCTTACCCCTATTAACCTGTTGAGTGACCAGCATCTAATTTCCCCTTACAATAATACTGTTGAATTATTCATTATGATCATGAGAATAAAAGAAACAATCACCAACCTAAGAAGCTCTGATTGTAAAACAAATTCTCCTTGCCACTACCAAAGGAAATGTATAGAGAAGAGTACAGAGAATTCGGACACTAATGTTGGGAAGTAAATGGTGAAGTATGATCAAAATAAATTATATTTTTAATGCACCACCTTTTACACATTTTTTCCAATATGAGAAGTGGTCTTATTTTCTTTTGGAATGTGTATCATTAAACAAGGAAGGCAAAAAAACAGAATTTATCTTCCTCAAGACTGGTTTTTAAACTTAACTTGGCCTTTATTTTACTATTTCTCTAAATTAAAAGTGGCTTAGTTCAAAGACAAGTCCATCATAATAGATTCACCATGCTGAAAATGCCGAACAAGGAAGTACAGCTGTCCATGATGCCTAGTGCGATGGCGTAATTTTCTTTTTCGGTAGAAAAAAAAAAAACACAAAACACTCCATGGCCATTTGGGTGAGACTTTGTTCTCACCATGCGACTCACTTGAAAAATATTTCCACAATCATCCCAGTCCTTGTATCTCATTAAAAATAGTTGTCATTTGTCACTGACGAGATGGTATTTAAAAGACGTTTCGGCTTCGCTTCGGCTAACGGCTAGATTTCTGTATACCCCTCTTCTTCACTAGCTACGTATACTGTACGCAAGAAAACGATAGCTAAAACAATAGTTCACCTTCAGGACTATTGCTTTAAGGGTATTAGGTTAAAGTGTATAAGAGAATCTTTCCCAGCCAACTTATTCATTACTACAAGGAGGATAAACCATTTTCATTAAAGTCATGTCCTAATCACAGCTACTCCAATATATAGGTCGACCTACCTGTTTCGAAAACAAAATCAATTCCTCATGATCAAATGAAGACAATCTCTTCCTTGGTTCTTAGCCAACTATACCATGACGCACTATATTCTTCGCCGGGTGAAGGCTAAGAAATCTCCAGCGATTCTAAGCTCAGCGGTTTCCCTGTTTCCAAAATGGCACCGCAATATTTTTTGACGGCAGAGAAGCAACTGGAACCAGGTGGTGCTTGTTACCGGGTTATATATCTTGTTCCATCCTGTTGCACATCCGTGACCCCAACCATTTCATATGAACCTCAAAACTCTTTATTCATTTCGTTTTGGCGAGAAAAAAAAAAGGGAGAGAGAGAGCTGTACCCCCAGTAGAGAGGTTGCGAATTCACCCCATTCCATTAGCTTAAAAAAAATGGCAGACCTGTTGTAGGCTTAGGACCAAAATTTTCATTCTGTTACAATTCTTGATACCTTTTTGTTTGAATTTCGATCTTGAATGAATACACGGCTAACAAAAATCCGCTTTTCGGATCTGAAAAATTAACGGGTCTTTGGAGAAACAAGTATTTGGACTGAAACACACCCTTGCAGAACGCTTTGAGGCTATGTCTACCAGGGCCCATTTGTTCAAAGAGCGGATAACGCTAATCCAACGGATAAATTGTTAACCAGCGGATAAATGTTAACAAAACGTACTGCACTGTCCAACTTATAGAAATTTGTCCAGTGGATAGCGTTGTCCACCCTTCGAATGACGGGGGCCAGAAGACATGCGCTTGCGCTGAAGACGTGCGTGCTTTCTCCCTCACCTCTTCCCAGACCTCTCACAGACAAGGAGACAAGAGAAAAAGGTCCAACAGCTGAAACAGGATAAAATTCGGAGATATGGTGTATATTCCTTACTAATCATGATCATTCCTGGACAATTAAGATTTTGAACCACCTGATTTACTTGCTAATTTACCTCGCCTGTAGCCCACAATACAGGCGTTTTTTTTCAGCGGCCCGGGAAGCGGAAACAGGCGTGGGCAGAGCACGAGGAATGAGACGCTTGGGAGGGGGAAGAGCCCGTTCCACAGGCTACTTCACCTGCATAAGAACAGAAGTCGCTTCTTTTTGTAGTTTTTGAAGCGAGCAGACGCTAATGATATGGTGAGCGAGTGTCTGCGCGAGACTCGTCCTTCAAGCTTGCCTTGCGCTTACGTCGCGTCCATCAATCAATCAATCAATACTTTATTTACCCGCGTAGCGTCAAGCAGCTCGTATAGCTCCTTCAAAATACACACGTGCCTCTAAGATTAAGAATCTAAAAAAACCTAATACATACTGACGAGACCTAATAGATTAAAAATTGCAATAACTTAAAATTAACATTAAAATTTAAGTTTGTACAATAAAATCCAGACAGTTACTTAAATATAGGTATAATATGGTGAAGCAATAACTTAAATAATTTAAAATTAACATTACAATTAAGTTTGCACAATCAAGTTCAGAGCCACTTAAATACAGGCATAAAATGGTGAAGCAGCTAAAGTTTCAATGTTTGCAATAGCTTCTTAAAAAGGTTGATATTATTGGCCAGTTTCACACTTGTAGGTAATCCATTCTACAGCTGTACACACGTATAGGTGAAAGATTTTTTCACAAAATTTAAATTAAATTTAGGTGCGCACAAATTAATGCCGGTTCCTCTCAGATTGTACATAGTTTCCCTAAAACTAAAAAAATGTCTGATGTACTTGGGACCGTCGTTATGCAAACATTTATATAACAGAGTAAGGGATTGTTGTTTCCTTCTCTGGTCTAACGTTTCCATATTCAAGATTCGCAACAATTCATCATAAAGGGTAGATTTACAATAACCTAGCAGTGATGTGAGAATATAATAGTTGGCATCTCTTGCCGATGCGCTTGTACTTTCCCCACTCCAAGAAGGAGGGGGCAACAGTATTCAAAATGAGGGAGAATGAAAGTTTTATAGAGCCTTAACATGACATTGCCAGGGACAAAACGCCTTATTCTCCTCAGTGAAGAAGAAGAAGAAGAAGAAGAAGAAGAAAAATTTATTTAACGAGGGTAAAACACATTGATTACTGGTCACCCAGTAGTTTTCATAATGGCCCTCCTACAATTAAAAGTAATAAAACGTATCGATCAAATTAATTAACTATCAGAATAATCTACCAACTAAATTTATATAATGAATAACTGATATATCGATATCAATGAATTAACTACTAATAAAACTAGAAGGTTTTACAAATCTTAAAATGATCAATAAAGGAATTCTTATTACGGTATAATTTAAATAAGTAATTTTTAAAATTTGTATGGGAGAGTGACCTAAGTTTTGGATCAAGAGTGTCCCACAAACACTTACCAGTGCGCCAATTTTAGCGTATACCATTTGAAGCTGTTTAGTAATGTGATCCTTGAAAGATAGCATGGTATATATCAAGTTCAACGCCAAGTATTTTGGTAGATGGCAGTGTCTCAATGACAGAGCTATGTATGGCCAGGTCGTAATTGTACTTACAGGGACCAATAGGTACTGCTTGCGTCTTTGTGTTGTTGATCACCAGATGATTCTCTTGAAACCACGATGATAACCGCTCAAGACCATTATTCACTACAAATTCGAGAACCATGGGCGAGACGTCCGAGGCATACATAACTGTGTCGTTGGCGTATAACCTCAGAGATACATCTGGTAATGGCGTAATTCAAGTCATTAATATAAATATCAAACAGAATCGGTCCGAGGAGGGACCCTTGAGGGACGCCCACCATTACTTCTAAGTAGCTAGAACAAACACCGGACAACTTAACTCGCTGATGACGCAAAATGCACGTCATTTATCAATTAAGATTGCATGCGCGCAGCACTTACTGACATTAGCCTAATCACAACTTTCCATTTATCATTTAATTGGTAATTAGAGAATATGTCGTCATTACAATTATTCCTTTTCATGACCCTTTACAATCAAAACTGCCTTCCGCTATGCCGCGCGACGATGACAAGCTCCTTCACTGAGATCCTCTACAGATACCATTGTCAGGTGCGTCCTGAACACTTTTAAGTAATTTTTATTTCTTTTAGATCTCTACCTAGTCTGGGAAAAACCTAAGTTCTTGAAATCATTTTTTTTTTCGCGCGCTAAGTGCAGGCACTTAATGATACTATGACGTAAGTCCAAATCACAGAAATTACATTGCGATGACGGGAACTTTCATGACAGTTTCGTAATGCCGTTGAATTTGAGCATATTTCGTCGCAACTTTTTTGATAGGAAGTGGAATTCGATGCACCGGCTTTCCGCTCTCAAACCAATCTGTTTGTCAACAGCTTACTAATTCTTTTTATCATCAAGCGTCTCGTTCCCGCGTCGATCTCGAGAGATCGCAAATAACCAAGTCCGACAGTCTCAGATTTGCTTTTGATTGGCTAAGATGGTAGAGCTGATCTCTCGGATAGATAACAGGAATCAATACCAAAGCAATCGCGGAGTTAAGTCTAGACACAGCAATGAAAACGGCTCGACTTCCAAGGCAATGATGTTTGTTAATTAATAAATTCAAAAACGCAGACTCTCAAATATGTATTTTTTTTCAGGGAGCAGCTGCTGAGCGGACCTACAAATGAGTGACTTCCAAACCTCCGAGAAACGGACCAAATTCAAGTCGAATCCACTTTGGTATTGAACCCTCTCGGCTTTTCGCGTTCCGGGGTTATGCCCGAAACTCATGAGCGGCAAAGGGAGAAGTCAGACTCACTTTACAGGGCAGGCAGCGCTAGAGGCACTTACACGCTTCCAAATTTTGCGTCCGATACTTCTTTATTAGATATAAGGACGCATCGCTTACCTTCTTTCAACAGAGATTCATCCGGTGGAAGGGGAGATAATGAGCGCAATGAACAGATAAAGGATGTGTTGAGCCATGCTCAACAACAGACTCTACAGAACGATTCACAGGTTTTTTCGAAGCTCAGTTTTAACGAATCTGGTGATACTGAAGATGCGCTCTCTGCATCAAGAATTGCTGACAAGGATTTACCAAGCAGGGAGGGGTCAGATAGAGAGGAAGGTGTCAATAGATTGGACTACACAGTTTCCTTTGAAAGAGAACTATCATTGCCAAATCAAAAGAAGTTGTTCGTACAAGATGAGGACAACTCGAGAACTTTACATCAAAAATTCCCTTTAAAGCATGTGCATGTTGATGCTAACCCGTCCATTTTAGGCCAAGAAGCTTCGTGCACTGTTTATGATAGTGTACAATCAATGACAGATAACATGCAGATGAAAGGAATAAACGTAAGGGGACGTGGCAGTTTAGGGTCCGAACTTCGGGAAGTGGATCCTCATAACTTCGAAACTTCAGCCCGCGGAACATCTACAAATAAAGCAAAGGTGGATCCATTGACTGCAGAAATTTCCATTGTCAGAGGACAAAAACGGTTAGATAGAAAGGACGAAAGAAGCATTTTGGTGGGTAATGCACCCCTTATTTTTCCTCAAGAATCAAATATGGCAATCTCAAAGCAAACTACCTCAAAGAAAGACCAAGAATCCTCGCGATTCCCCAGAACCACGCCTTGTGCGAGTGATATCGAAACTATCATCATCAGAGACGCCGAGAAAATCAAACAAGCGGGTTTGATTGACAGCTTTAAAGGCAACCAATCAGACAGCAGCCTAAGTGACGCGAACGATCGTCATTTTCAGATTTTAGTCCAAACCCATCCCGACGGAGGATGGGGCTGGGTGGTTTGTTTTGGTGCATTTCTAGTCCAATTCATAGCTCTCGGTATGCAAAATACAGCGGGTATTGTTTACACGGAACTGGTGAAGGAACTTAAGACTCCCAGGGGAGCAACAGGTTGGTATAGATTTCAAAATCATGGGAATAGTTTATCGTTCTGTAAATAAAGTGAAGTTGTAACACTGTCAAACGCTTGGAGTCACTAAACATGATTGCCGTGTAAAAAAGAAACATAAGCTTCTAGTCTTGATAAATTTCTGTCTCTGTGTCGGAGTGCAAGCCAGTCAGAAATGTTCTTTTTTACATATTTTTTTCAGCTTGGGTCGGGTCTCTTTCAACTGGTATCATGTTCTTTCTTGGTCCACTTACCACCTCAATGTGTGAAAGACTCGGCTGCAGAATCGTCACCATATGCGGGGGTATCATCTGCATTGCAGGGCTTCTACTTTCCTCACTGGTTACGAGTCTATTTCCGTTGTATTTTACCTACGGCTTAATGTTTGGGACTGGGACGAGCCTTTGCTACTTTCCCACAATAATTGTACTTTCTAAATACTTCAAACGCCGAATTGCGGTCGTGAATGGCCTGGTAACAGCCGGAAGTGGAGTAGGAACGCTTGTGATTGGCCCAGTCGCCCAAGTACTGTTTCTGCGTTTTGGCGTGCCGAACACTTTTCGAATCGTGGCGGGAATTTTCACATTGGTGGTTTTATGCGGAGCAACTTTTCGACCAGTTCCTACCACCTACCTTCAGAAAAACAGAAATTCTGAAGGAGAAGGGAAGAGAAAGCTTTTTGACTGGAGCATTTTCAAGAATAAGGGATATGTTATCTGGATCACTTCTGTGGCGACATTTCAGCTTGTCTATTTTGTACCATTTGTACACCTGGTGAGAATTACAACTAAGAAACCGGTCATTATTTATCGTATGGGGGGAGGGGTGGTTGGGGAATCACAGGATTTTCAGGGGGACAGAGGGGAAAATCGGTCGTCGCCAACAGAGTACGATAAAGGGGGGACTATAAAAACTGACTGCCTATGATGTGGGGATCATAAGAATATCACGGAGCTTTATGAGGGCATGAGGTAAATCTATACGTGACACAGCAAAAATTCTCCAACACCCTTCCCTCCCCTCCCCCCCTTAACCACAGGCAATAAATAATGACTCTGGCCGTGCGTTTAATAAGAATCTGGTTCATAAAATTTTTATTCTAGAAAAATATATATGTGATTGAGTTATTGTCTTAACATCAGGTCAGACATGCCGAAGATCTCGGCGTTTCACCAACAGACGCTTCGTTCCTGATCGGTTACTTATCGGTGGCGTCGACAGCGGGAAGACTTTTTTTCGGCAAAATGGCGGATCTTTCCTGTGTCAACAGGGTCCACATGTATCAGATGGGACTCTCTATGATTGGTTTGTGCTCCTTCTTTGTGACCATGGCAACAGGATACGGCGGTTTGGTAGCTTACACTGTTATCTTCGGTTTCTTTGAAGCATGTTACATTTTGCTGATTCCGCTGGTCACAAGTGACATCGTGGGCCCCCTAAAGATGTCTTACGCTCTTGGAAGTGCATTCACTTTCATGGCATTTCCGATGTTTTTGGGACCTCCTATCGCAGGTTCGTATTAAGCCGAGTGCTTTTGAAGCGTTAAATAATTTTAGGATGATTGTTTACGCTATATGAGTCAAGAATGAACAGATCACCATAAGAAATATTGCATGGCCAATGAAAAAGTTAAAAAGTTTGAAAACGCAACTGAGGTTAGATTTTTGTCTGATTGTTTGAGAAGGTGGCACAAGTTTTCCAGATCAATCAAGAAGCGGGACAAGACAACCGAGCAATCCTGAGTTACTCTAAACACTCTGCTAAAAATTATTTAATTCTAAAGCTAGTGCACGTCAGAAATTGAACGCCCAAGAGGGCAAGAGGGCAAGAGCGCAAAACTCATTATATCCAGCTGATGATCTCCTGTTAAAAAAGAAAAACCGAACTCATTTTTCACTAAGGCTTACTTAAGTAGAGAATTCTGTCAAGTAAACTTTAATTAATTTAAGTTGAGTAGTGAAATGCGATCCTGTCATTGGAAGAGTTTTGGTTTACCCACCTACCCCATACCCCTTCGATGGATACGCCACTGCGACCACATTATGAGACCTTGTTTAAGACGTTTATGATCGTGTTCAGGCTGGATGTACGATATATCTGGAGATTACTCCGGGGCATTCTACTCATGTGGAGGCATCTCTTTCCTTGCGGCAAGTTTGACGTTTCTTATACCCCGTCTGTCAACACAGTCGAACAAGGAAATCAGCAGCACGAGGCTTGGGAAATTCTTACACGGGAGGAGATCGAATCATCGCTCTGAAGTTATGCACGTTCTCTTCCGATGTTTGTGGCAGGAGAAGCAAGAATCTAAAACATCCAGCTATGTACAATATAGCGGCATTCAAGCAACAACCAAACGAGTGGACAATGTTTGAAATAAAAGTAACTGTTTTGACGTTCTCCGTCTCCCGTCTCTCCGCGTTCCTCTTTTGTTAACCGTTCCACAGCACAGACAAATGAGCGCTTTACTTTCGAACACTGTGTTAACTTGAATAAGGATTAAAAAAGAGGATTAAAAAAACTCAGAGTATGTTCGCGTTTAATTCCATTCCATATGCATTTCTCACGAGCACATTGAGCAATTAAGGTTAGGTAGTTGGCAAAGGCGCCGGTTCAGTTCCAAATTGTGAACAACGCTGAGGAAGTTTAGCCAAGGAAAGGGTAGAAAAAGTCATCGTATACCGTCTAATCCCTTTTTCTTTATTAAAGTACTACAAGCGGTTCTGTAAAACTATAGGATGGTGGGATGGCTCTGAATTCTGGCTCAAAATTACAGTCGAACCTGTATTTAGCGGCACCGTATTAGGCGGTCACCCTGTGTTAGCGGTCGGTTGTCGAAGTCCCGGTACACTAGAATTCTGAAAAGAGCTAAA